TAATTTTTCCTTCTGAATCATAAAGAACTAGGGGGAAATCCCTATAGTTCTTTGAAAACTATAATTTAGTAATTTAGAAACAATGTTTTCTCCAGTGCTTCTCTAATAATTGTGCTGTGTTGTTTATTTCTTTCATCACTTCCTACCTTGTCTGGTTGCTGGTGAAAACCAGCCAGGAAGCACACACTTCAGCTTCTCGCTTTTTCAGGCCACAATTCTCCAATGTTAGGTTGCTGCCAATGTCCTTGCAAACCAATGTAAAACAGGCCACAAGGTTCACGTTAACTGCAGAGTGTTACTACACTGAACATCTGGTCATGAATGAATGGATTGCCCACTAACACTCTGTACTGGGAAGCTGATGAAAAATTCAACATTTTCCTTGTTGGCACAGTTGTTTTGGAGAATTCTCTAGAGCTTCCTGAATTATATGAAGAAAATTTCACTGCAGCAATCTATATCTGTGAGAACAGCTGGTGTTGAAAGGGATCTGCTGCTCTCTGCGTGCTGGGGGACCTCATGTTGGATCATGATACTTTTGCTACATTTGTCCTTGAAAACTTAGCCCTACCTTTGTGGTAGCAGTTAAACAAAGTGACAGCAATGGTTCTTAACAGTTGCCTTCAGCACAGCAGGAAGGAGAATAAATAGTAGGAAAAAAAGATCGTGTACACTTGATGGTCAATTCAGAATTTTATAGGAGTTCCTATAACGGTAGAAAAATTCTCCTGGTAGAATTAAGATTTAAAAAAAAAAAAAAAAAAAGTGCCTGTGATAAGTAGAACAGTCCATGTCACATCCTTCAAATATGGTTTTAGTCAGCGCTCTTTTTCCCTAATTTCAGTGCCAATATTCAGTCATCTTTATTCTATAAGTCAAAAATCAGCTTCTCTTTTAAATACTTGAAGAATAGCAAGAAAAATATTGCACACCACCGAACATCAGAGCTCTTGAGTACAATCAATCTCTTTATTACATGGAATGCTTTATTAAGTTAAATCACTCAAAAGCTTTGAAAGCAGAACTATTAATTTCATCTGGAACGAATAACAACCCACAAAACTGTATTTTAAAAAAGAATTGCTTTCTTCATAGGACAATAAATAAGCCATACACTGTTCTCCCCCCCACCCTCTCTCTCTCTCTCTCTCTCTTAAAGGAAGTGGTAAACTTAAGTCATGCTAAATTTAGGCTATTATCTATGCAGCATAAATTTCACTTCTGTGTATAAATGCTAACTTGCATATTTCTCCATGGTAACTAAACTATGATTAAAACAACAGTGAAACCAGCCTTCAAAACCACCTGTTTAAGTAGGAACAATCTAATTTACAAAAAAATAGAAAAAGTAAAATAAAAACCTAAATTTCAGACATGTCCTGGGAATTTAAATCTCATTTTCCCTAATTGAAAGCCTTCATTTCCATGATCTAATTGTAAAGTACATGGTTTGGGTTGGATTTATTCTTCTTTTAAAATCATGTAATTTCTTCACATATTGTTAACCTAACAGAAGTAGTATTTTAAGATTAGAAAGAATAAGACTTTAATAAGCCTTTCCAAAAAGGAAATTATTTTGCTCCTTGAAAGGATTAATTTACCTAGAAAGTATCTATTTTTATAATATGGCAAAAATTAAAGAAATCAAAACCTTGTAACTAAAATTCTCATTAATTATGGTAAGACACTTTCAAAGCCTGTCTTTTTACTAAGATACTCTTGTTTTTTCTAATGGAGAAATTGATCGCTTTTAGGGATCATATTAAGTAAAGATAGCCAACATACGATATGAACTAGTCTAATTACAGTATTCAAATGTTGAATATTTTAATAGAAACGCTAAATATATGCGTGTTTAATATCTAATACATGTAATAATAAAATATGTTATCTATGATCTGAAACACACAAATCAATTTATGCTGCATAACTGCAGACACCCAATACAAAATTTTACTGGAATTTAAAAACTTGCTATTTTTTTCTGGATCTCATTGTTATACTTTCCATGTATCATTAAAAAGTTTAAAAGATTTAGCTGCATAACTATATCATAAAGTCTTACAAAATATAATTTAATGTTAAATTTCAAGGATTTATTTGCCTTCATTTACATCACACCATGTCTGCAACAACAATGTATATGGCTGTAATATTTATCCAGTCCATCTTTATAATAGCACTAGGAAATATTGTGGGTGAAACTAATAAACTAATACAGTGCACTTCCTGGCAAGTGGGAACTTGAATGCTAAACTTGTAGGTCTTCCTTTGGTCTAGAAGAGTACACCAAAGTAGTTGTTGATAGATAGCATATGTGATAATATATTCTGAAAGTGGTGCACAGCTATTGTTTACACAAAATTATTTTATTATGCCATATATTACTTTAGATGATATACAGTAAATCAATCAGTAGCTAGATTTTAATAAAGCCATGATTCCAGAAGGATATTGGATTATGTTTCCAAAATACTGAAACTTGAAACTATGACTTGCAACAATTTTCTAAGATCATGGATCTTTTGGGGCAGGCAGTAGAATGTCAATCCCAATAACTGCCATGGAAGAAACCATGATCCACCACTCCTGGCCTTGTTTCTTCTGGGATTTTTGGAACAATTTAACATATTTAATTACTGTAGTCCCATTACCTTTGTAGTATTAGCCTCTGGGATCTGGTATGTAAGCAGTATAAGTCAAAGTTCATTCTCTGACAATCTATCTGTCTCTTCATGGATGTTTGAAATTCCTTCGTTGCCACTGAATATTGTCAGAGCTGATTTATTTAGCATATGGCAAATAAGTGAGAGCTGTATGTGGATGCTACTTGGATATAAAGGGAGCCTAAGTAGACAAACACTATTAAAGTTTTGCTCTGATTTTATTTAGTTCATACAATCATTCAATGTGCCATTAGCTAGTGTGAAAAATAAACTCCCCTCCCTCACCAGTACAATTACAACAAGTAGTCCTTGACTTATAACCAGTTGCTTAAAGACCGTTAAAAATTACAATGGGGCCCAGAATAGGTACCTTATGCCAGTAAAGCATTTTTGGCTGTCAAGATGTACCATATCCATCACATGACCGCACTTTGGGTGATTGGTAACTGGCTCACTTTTATAACCAGTTGCAGCATTTCATGGTCACATGACTGCAACTGGCAACATTTGGAGGGGTCTGGCATTTTTTGCCAATTTCCACAGAAAATGCCTATTATGGAGAATAAGAGAACACTTATGACCAGTGTTTTCATTTAACTTGAATGTGGTTTGACTGAATGACAATGATTCATTTAATTATCACCACATAAAAGGTAGTCAAATTAGATCCGTTCACATGGGTGACTCAACTTATAACCATAGTATCTTATGACCAGCAATTCAGTCCTAATTATGGTCATAGGTCAAAGGCTATGACCGCAACCAAACACTATCTGTTCTTGGTCACTAGTTTCAACTGATTATGTCAGGACTTAGTGCAACATTTCTATGGAGTTAAGTTAACTTCATAGAATTAAAGTTAAATCTTAACATTATGACTTGACTTGGGAATTCCTAAAATGTTAAATTTGTCCTTCATTTCATTCTGTTATATGTTTCAGCCCACTGATGTTTTACAGAATTCACTGTTAGAAACAGAGCTATTATTTCCTTCAATGATTAAGTTTTGCAGATCCTAAGACAAGAAACAATGTCTAAACAATGACAATATGAAGTTCTTGTTAGGTTTTTTTTTTCCTGCTAGATATGGCAATAGCACTTAGATTTATAAAATGCTCCATAGTGCTTTAAAGCACTCTCTGAGTGCTTTACAATGTCAGCATATTACCCCCAACAATCTGGCTCTTTATTTTATCAAGAAGGTAAAATGAAAAGTGAATTACCTTTACTCAGAAGGATGGAAGGCTGAGTCAACCTTGAGCCGATCAGGATCGAACTCCTACCAGTGGGCAGAGATTGCCTGCAATACTGCCTTCTAACCACTGTGCCACCACAGCTCCTAATGCCTGATAAATTTCACTTTTTGACCTGTGGGCCTAAATACCATTTTTGTAAACATCCAGAAGGTCATCAAGGTGCTTTTCAGAAAACCTAAGATGAACATGGACTTTTTGTGTGTGTGCGAACAATGGCTTCTTTCTACTGACACATGACATTCATTGCTTTTCTGATAATGCAGCCATAAACACTGAGTGCATTTGAAAGAGAATTGGAAATACATAGATGCTGTTCTGAAGTTCTTAGTGTCAAGTTTAACCTGCACTATAGTGCAAATCATTGAAAGATGCATATCTCTGTGGACTGATAAAATATCAGTTTTAGAAATGGTGGAATCATCTCTTATCGGCATCAATTACTTTTATTGTAAGGCCTTCAGAAATTTCTTCTGAATTGGGGATAGTGTGCTCCAGAATCTTCATTTATGTAATGTGGTGAAGGGAGCCTATGTTTGTCAGATTTATATAGGAAAAAGTTGGTTTAAGTCATGACTGATTGTCCAATAAAAGTTCTTCGGTTATCCATCCATTTGGTGCATTTGTACTGGTGGCAAGGAAGACAGTATTTCAAGTTACATGTCAGACAACCTAGTTTATGAAATAAATGAAACAACTCCCAAACTTTACCATTATTGTTCACTTAGATTCCTTTTACATAATAGTTGCCCTACATAAAGCTGTCACAACAGTCAGCGGTAAACCTATGCAAAAAAGTAGAGCATTCAAAAGGGGGAAAACACTTTTACCATGGAACTGTATTATGCTCTCAATTACAGTGGTATAACTTTCTTGATTACCTAAAGTTACTATTATAAAATTGGAGAATCCCTACTATAAAATATCACACCCATATTAATTCTACCCTCATTACTGAAAATTGAGCATTTATTTGGGCTCATTATGATTAATAGCTCTAAAATAATTGCCATGAAAATACACATCCTTCTTTCCTCCTGAGCCACATTTATATTTTAAAGTAAAATATACAAATACTTACAGTCACAGTGGGGTTTTAAGCATGAGAGGATCCAAGTTTAACCATGTAAACTGCATAGTAAAGATATGCAAGTTGAATCAAGTTGATTAACCTCGGTTTTTTTCTTCACCTATTTAAAATAAAAAGCAAGAACTGAATGTTGGTGCTACGAAATAATGTTGCTGATGTCATCAGATAGATCTACTTTTACTCACTTAATAAAAAATTCTATCCATCAGAAAAGAAAAAAATAAGCATTCAAACTCTGTCAGCCATTATTACATTCCCCCAGAGTATATTTCTTTTTAGTAGTTTTAAATAACTAAAACTAGTAACTTTATTGTACAATCATTTTATGGTAATATTCTAAACATCTATTTTTTATGTAAATTTCTTAAACAGAATGGAACAGAATGTCTTAATCAAACAAATCATTATGCAAATAATATATATCAAAATTAGGTACTGCTGAAAACCACATTTCTTCTAAGAGTTAAACCAAAGTCGAAGATTTTTTTCATAGTGGTTTTATTTCTAATTTTGATCACAGGTCACTAGAAAATTATAGGGTGTAAAACTGGCCAATGTAAAAAGATCTATGAAAATCATAGCAATATAACCACTTCCTATTTGTTTCAATGGGGCAAATGAAAGAAAGCTTCCTCAAAAATTGTGCCCCTGGTTTAGTTCCAAGATCCCCCTTGTAATTGACATAACCACTTTGAAAAATCAATCACTTTGGAAGCAGATGCAACCCTGTTACACTAATTAAACTTTGTTTTGCACCAGAGTCATGCATTTGCAGTGTGTGTACAGTATGTAAATTATACAAATTACAAGAAAAGTTGATTAGCGTAATTCAAATCTCAGTGCAGTTACTAAATTTAACAATGAATACAAATTATACTCAATCAGCTCATTTCTATATGTTAACTGTACAGCATGTATCACCAGCTTCAGAGTAATATGAAATAAAACTAAAGAAGACTACTGTTAAGAGATGATTTAGAGGAATATGAAAATGGAGTCAGGAGCGTATTTTTTTAAAAAAGAAAAAAAATGGAACTCCTAATACATAGTCCTCAATTTACGACCAAAATTGGAACTGCAATTTCCATTGCTAAGCAGTACAATTGTTAAATGAGTCACATTCAATTTTATGACACTTTTTGCCATGGTCGTTAATTGAATCTAATTTGCCCCCCACTGACTTTGTTTGTCAGAAGTCTCCTACAAAGACAGCAAATGGAAATTACATGACCCTGAAATGCTGCAAGCTGGTGCCCACAAGCACCCGAATTATGTGACTGCGGGATGCTGTGATGGTCGTAAGTGTAAGAATTTGTCATCAGTTACTTTTTCAGCAATATCACAACCTTGAACAGTTAAACAAATGATCATAAGTCCAGGACTACCTGTACTATTATAATTAATTCTAATACCTTCAATAACTTTTATATAGAAGCCAATTCAAGAGTTCAGTTCCAAGACTATTCAAGTCCCTCACTGATACAACTCTAATGATAGTGAGCCGACACATCTTCATCTGGAATAAAATCTGGAAAACTTTGGAAATTTATGACTTGTAAACTCTTTTCTGACACCTATAATAACGTAGTTTTTTTAAAAAAAACAAAACTATGAATCTAGTACTTTAACACAGAGCCCTACACATTGTTGTCATACATTGTCAAACATTTACAAAGTAATGCATTTTTCTTAGAAATTGTTAGAAATACTACTTTTATACAGTAAATAGTGCTAGTACACTAGGAAGAAACAAAATGAAAGAAGCATATATCTAAACTCACCTTAATGTTTATTTGTTGATTATGTTAAGTTTAGTTGTATATATTCAATTATCTAACCAATGCAATAATAATTTTAAAACAATTGTAAATTCTATTTTTTTTACTGTTTTTTTAATTTTCCACCCACAATGTCCTTCACATTTTCTTCTTTGTGTAGTCATTTATTTTCTTTAAATGTTCTACAATAAAAGTATAATTGTCATAAGAAATTGTTATTAAGAAAAATGCTGGATGTTGCTTCTAAACTGTCATTTGTGGTGACCTCCATTAATACCTGAATAAGTGTAACAGTGGCCACTGAATTGATGGCACCCGCCAGTTTAAATCAGGATGGCTGAATGGATCACAAATAAGGCTCAGTAATAAACTCAGTGGCCCAGTCTAAATAAATGAATTTTCACTCCCACCACAATTAATAGAACAAGTTAATTGTATGATCTTTGGCTTGTTAAAAAGAAAACAATAAATGATCTAATTTAGAGGGTGTTTGCAAGGTTAAGCCAAGAGAAAGAGAGTTAAGTATTCTGTAGAGGAAGATTGCTATTTCAATTGGGGAAAAAATAATAGTAAATTAATTTTGACAGATTCCAAAGACCATATTAGCTTACTGTAGCATAAACAAAAAATAAGAGCTTTTATATCTCATAGCCCATCCTTCGCAATCTTTTTCAGCTGTATTGGACTTCAATTCTTATTGTCCTCAGCCGGAATGACAGTCATCCTTGCTATGGCTTCAAATGATAGAGATATAATCAAAGACATCTGGAGAGCATCAAATTGGAAAAGGCTTTTATAAACTAACAAGCTTTCATAGACTAAAGGCTACTTCATCACACTCAACACCAGCAACTGATGTTCGATGAAGTGGAATATCTGACCTATAAAAATGAATATTGCAATAAATTGGTTACTTTTTAAGGTATCACTGAGTACTAGTTTAAGATTAATGGAGTGGATACATAAAACTGCATAACCAAACACACAAATAAATCACAAACAAATAAATTTCAGGATCTGAATTTTTAATGACACAATTGGGAACAGTAAAGGACTAGTCACAAAACCCTGTCAGACAACAAAAAGGTTTCAAAGCAATTTAACGTGAAATCACATCTATTTCAAATTATAGTCAGAATGGTTAGGCAATTGCATATAAGGGAAAGAATGGTGTAAGAAAATGACCCCTAGCTGTTGGCTAGGTTGTGAAAATAATGGGGTTAACCTCCAGGTTCATGCCCCAGTTCCCTTTCCTTAAAACACTGCCATTTTGTGGGTCCTTGGAAGTATGCCTTCTCCACTGCAACCTCTGTCCTATGGAATAGTCTATCCCGGAGATCCCACATATCCCCTCTGTTTTAGGTCCCAGAAGAGCTGCCCTTCCCCAACATGTTTGGATAGGGTAAAGTTAGATTTGGAAAAGGATATTGGGATGTATTGGGGAAAGGTGGTTGTAGTGCCTGCTTTTTTTAATTTTTATTTTACTGATTTTATTGCTTCTTTTGCTATATATATTTACCCAGTGGTGGGATTCAAATAATTTAACAACCGGTTCTCTGCCCTAATGATATCTTCCAACAACCAGTTCATCAAACTGCTCAGAAAGTTAACAACTGGTTCTCCCAAAGTAGTGCAAACTGGCTGAATCCCACCACTGTATTTACCTGTGGGTTGTAAGCTGCCCAATCTTGGCTTTAAGAATGGTGGTTCTACAAGTGTTCTAAATAAATAAATAAAACTTTTGGGAAGCTCCAGATAGCTTGCCCTCAGTGTATACATCCTATTGCTTTCAGTATTGGTATTTTTCTCTTCAAACAGCAGAAATATCCAACCACTGGAGAAGCAACTGAATAGGATACATTAAGGTGCTCATACAGACAAATGTAATTATCTGAAACCATGTAGGATTACAGAATGGGATCTTGTAGAACAATCATCCCAAAGGTGCTTTTTCAGGAGGCAACTGGACTTTCTTGTTTTTTCTTTGAAGAAGTTTTGCTTCTCATTCAAGAAGCTTCTTCAGCTCTGACAGGATAGTGGGGAATGTCCCCACTGTCAGAGTTGAAGAAGCTTCTTGGATGAGAAGCAAAACATCTTCAAAGAAAAAACAAGAAAGTCCAGTTGCCTCCTGAAAAGCACCTTTGGGACAACCAGGACCTGGATGACTGAGAATCTCTACAGACTGTAGAACAATCAGTTCTTTGAATCAGGAGTTCCAAAAATCAAAGGGTATGCTTCTACTATAATGTCCACAGCAATTGTGAAAAGAAGCTTTAGTGTGTGATGTGAGTATAACCTAAACATACAACACACACAACTTCAACACACCTGTCCATTTTTCTGTTCTGGTACTTTGTATTGTATTCCATAAGAGAAACTCAGTACATCACACTTAAAAATGGGTATTTTTTGATTTTTTCCTAAATTTGATAACTCTTTGAATTGGTAGTCTCCATGCTCTGAAGGAGACTTATACAAGTCAAGCTATTTGTCTCTTTAACTGAAATGTAACTACAATGATTGGCAGCTGCTCTGCAGGGTTTCAAAGTAAACTTAGTTCCTTCAGCATGCAAAGCAGAGATTTGACCACAGAATTACAGCTGTATTATGCTTCATGAAAAATTAGGATTCATTCTGTAGAGTAGAAAAGAATTCAATGGATAAATGACAAGATAGCATGACTAATATAGCAAGAGCATTGAGACTTATTTACCATAGTGCTTTACAGCCCTCTCTAAGCGGTTTACAGAGTCAGCATATTGCCCCCAACAATCTGGACCCTCGTTTTACCGATCTTGGAAGGATGGAAGGCTGAGTCAACCTTAAGCCAGTAAGAATCAAACTCCTGACATTGAGCAGTAAATTAGCCTGCAATACTGCATTCTAACCACTGTGCCACCCCAGGTAAAAAAAAAATCATTTTTTTTCCAATTAGCAAACGAAGGATTCAAACAGTACCTGTATATTTCCAGGATATACTGAGGATATATTCCTCAGTTAAGGTTTAAACATCAAGAATGCTATACAAGTTTAAAAAAAAAAACAGCCTTACTCATTATGCAAACTGGATATGCAGCTCACTTTTTATAAACTTGACCTAAATTGGTCAAATTACATCTGTTAGAAGGAAAGGTTTTTGCACTTTCAGCTATACATGCATTGGCATTTATTTAACCTAGGATGGTAAATTATCAGGATCAAGGCTTATCTGAAAACAAGTTTGTGTCAGCTAAATGTGCAATATCCTAGAGATATTAGTGCCCAATACAATGATGTCTCAAGATGGTGACTATTATTTGAGCAAGGTTGGCAGTATCTGGGT